CCCTCCTCTGCCCCCCTAAAAACAAAACATTAATTGGTGAAAAATAAATACACCTGGGATGGAAAAAAAAAACATACTTACCTTACATCCAACTACCTCCCACCACACCTAGGCCAGAGTGACATAATGATCCTTCCGGACAGCTACGTTTGAATTATGAGGATCCCAAATCTTGCAAGGAGGCTCTCCTGCACTGTGATGGAGCTTCTTCTATCATTTGGGATCCTTAGCATCCGCAGGATATTGCCGGAATGCCTTTTGCTGGGTGGGGCACTAATAAATAAGCAGACCTTGCATTTTGGTGCAAGGTCTACCATATTTGCTGAGTCTGAGCTAGGCACTCTCCAATCAGCAGGGAGCATGCTCTTTCCTGATTGGAGACCTCTAGTTTTGATCCAGCTGCCGGTGTGACAAACCCCTGCAGAGGGGCCTTCTCTACAGCATGCTGTCAAAATACAGATTTTTCTACTTTTATTCTACTAGCTGTGAAAATTCTAAAATCGACAAACTACGGTATATATATTTGAAATTTATCAACCATTATGCTTTGACTACCTATCACATTTCTTGAGGGCCTAAAATGCCAAGGCAGTACAAACTGTAGATAGTCTAGGGTATTTATTACGAGGAATGGAGAGTATTTTAAAATAAAAAATAAAGTAAATGTGTTTTTTCTTTTCACATAGTCTTCATTTTAATAAGATATTCCTTGCACAAAGCTTGAGCATACTTAGAATTAGACCCCAAAACACATTCTGCTACTCCTCCCGGAGAATGGGGATAACATAGTGGGAGTCCCTGGAGTGCCGGGACAATAGAAAGACCCACAATATGGCTGGCAGTGGTAGTAATCTGGCACTGGTATTGAATGACGCTGGCTGTACAGGCACTGGTTCTGGCTGGTGCTGGCACTGGATTGCACTAGTAATAGATGGCACCAGTAGTGGCTGTACAGGCACTGGTACTGGATGACACTGATACTGGCTGAACAGACACTGGTAAAAGATGGCACTGGTACTGAATGACACTGTTACTGGCAGGCACTGGTACTGGGTGACACTGGTTCTGTCTGGTGCTGGATGACACTAGTACTGGCTTGCACTGGTACTGAATGACCCTGGTTCTGGCTGACACTGGTTCTGGCTGGTACTGAATGACACTGGTTCTGGCAGGCACTGGATGACACTGGTAATGGCACTGGCTGGCACTGGATGACATTGGCACTGAATGACATTGGTTCTGGCTGGCACTGGAACTTGATGGCACTGACAATGGTACTGGATGACATTGCTACTGCATAAATTCTGTCTGGCACAGGTAATGGATGGCACCGATAATGTCTGGCATTGTCTGGCATGCCTGACATTGCTCCTGGCTGGTACTGAATGACACTGGCAATGGCACAAGATGACATTGGTACTGAATGGCACTGGTTCTGGCTGGCACTGGAACTTAATAGCACTGGTTCTGGCTAGAACTAGTACTGGATGACATTGGTACTGAATACATTCTGGCACTGGTACAGGATGGCACTGATACTGTCTGGCACTGGTGCTGGATGACACTACTTCTGGCTGTTATTGGATTACACTGGTTCTGGTACTGTCTGGCACTGGTAATAGATGACACTGGTCCTGGCTGACACCTGTTCTTGATTGCACTGGTATTGGCTGGCGATCATGGAACTCTCCTTTTTTAATAAGGGCTGCTGCACACCTAGGCGGATTTAGCCGCACGATATCTGCAAAACACAGATTCGCATTGAAGTCAATGGAGGCTGTTCAGACCTTTGGGTTGCGTCTTGCGGGAGAAAAGTTGCTGGAACTATTTTAGGGCAGTTTTCACAGCAAAGTCAATCACAAAAAAAGTGTGACAAACGCACAAAAACAGCTCAATCACCTAGGTGTGAACCTGGCTTCACTGATGACTGCGTGTAAGATGAAAGGGCCAGCAGGCCACTAACTGCGGCCATTGTTTTCATTTTGTAATGCAGTGATTGGCCATGGCAATCATGTGCTACAGAGCCACTTTCATTAACTCTGTCCGTTTTTTTCTGACCTGCACTTTCAATTGACAGTGCGGATCACAGGTACTGTACTGTACTGGTGCGTGTGCCAGGAGAAGCACCAGCACTGAAAAAGCTATCTAAGTGACAGCTGTCTTTGCTCTCTAGAGCTAAAGCCAGCTGTGCCCGCCCCATCGCTTGTCTATCCCTCCAATAAGCGTTGAAGAAGAGAATGATGACTGCGGGAGAGTGGTTACTGATAGCTTCTGCTCTCCATTGGGAAAGGAGGCTGAGAGCTGTCCGGTCAGTGGTCACATGATCGCTCAGCTATTGGTATAGAGAGCTAGAGAGATGGACACTGAAGCTGTCACACCGGCTCTAAGCAGCGGAAGGGGTATGTTTTACTCTCCCACCAGGTCTCTTTTAAATATACGAGCAATATGCCTAAAGTTTAAAAAAGATATTAAAAGTAACCAATTCCTTGTGCAAACTAGATGTAGTATTCTTGTCACCACTAACTTGCTTAGCTGTGCTTTTTAAAGCTGAACTCCCAAAAAACTTCCTATGTAAAAATGAATTACCCCAAATGATGTGTGTCCTGTTGGTGGATTTTGCTGCAGGTAAAAAACGTAGAACACTCCTGGTTCTAGCGCACATACAGTGAAGGCTATGTGAGGTGCACGTCTCCACTTCCTCTATTCATAAAACATGTTATATTATTGTATAATTTTCACAAATTACAAGGCGTTCTGTGATTGGAAGGGTGGATGAACGTCACAATCTCCATAGAGCTAGAAGTCCAGAGTTTACAACACTGTCAGAATGAATACTTTTTTTACCTAACTCAGCAGCATCCACCAATGGGACCCACATCATTAGGGGTCATTCATTTTTACATAGCAAATGTACAAATATTGTTTTTTTCCTGGAGTTCAGATTTCACGGTAAATAAAAAAAATCCTTGTCCTTTATTTCTATCTTTAGACCTTGAAAGAACAATAGTAATATTTTGCCGTATTGTGTTTTTCAATTCATTACTGATTTGACACTGGGCTTGCAGACAATAGTTCACTAGCCATAAATCATTCTTTTTTAATAAAACAAAAAGATACAATTCATTAAAGTTACTGGAATTTGAGAATGGTAGGGAGAAATGAAATGACACGTGTAAGAGATTCTTGCAACTAACATGTTAAACTACTCTTCCATCCCACTAAAAAAAATGGGAGTACAACCCTGATATCCTGCACCTCCTCTGGTCCGCCCCATGGTTTCCTCTCCCCCCTGGGATTTTTTGATGAGAGGGCATCGTCTGTTTAGTTCTCTTATCACACGGCCTCTCATACTGCAAACCTCATATGGCTCTAGCCAGAAAGACTGGCCTAGAAAGACCAGCTTTGTTAACCAACTTTACTGGCATGCAGGTGGTAATCTTCTTTAAGTCCTACAGGTAGAAGTTCCTCCATGAACAATCAGGTATGTTTGTCTGTTACATTTTGTATGATCTCTAAATCTCTCCTATTGCTTCTTGAAGGCAGATAATTGAATTGTAAAAATGAAATAAAACAAGAAATTTAAAGATTTGATAAATACTGCGCTGATGTCATTATATTTACATTGTATTTTTTTATGAAAAATTGTCTTATTGTTACTGTTACTTAAAATTTAGAATATAATAGTACATCACTGAGTAGTCCCAAATCTTAGAAAAGGCATTAGACACCTATAAAAAAATAATAATTAATTATAAATGTAAAATCATACAAACGTTGTCAACCTTACACCAAATAAAAGGATGTGAAGACGATTGGTTCTTAGTGAATCTTGTTGTTTTATATTCTTTATCTAAAAAGCCATAATGCCTTGCCTAATATTATTTAATAATAATTATATTCATTATTAAAAGGAATAATAGACGTAGATAATCTTGGAAATTGGATGGATATTCTCCAGTTCAGGATAATGCATACAGTGCTCTTTTTTTTACTGTATCTCTGTGGAGGCTGCCCTTGCAAACTTTTCCTACTGAAAATGTTATATGCCAGGCTATTATGCTAATCGATTGACTTTATTTTTTGATTACGGTTTGAGTCAATGAGTTGGAACAAGAACAGATCACGAGTTCTGACTTTACTATGACTGTGGTTGCTGCATGATTGTTCCAGGTCAGTGTCTCAAACTATTGAAGCAGGAGACAGCTAGGCAAATAGCATCTTTAGAAAGAGCTCAGTAACTGTAGAGATGAACGAGTGGTATTCTATTAGAGTTGGCTACTGCGTGAGATCTCTAGCTGTCAGACTAGTGCAGTTCATGTATATAATGTTTGCTGTGACTCATGTGAAATGGTATTCACGAATGTTCAAGTATATAAATTTATATCCACATAATATTATGCTAAAGGCAAAAGTTCAATAATAGTATTGCAGGCTTGTCAAAGTGATTTTTAACTGGATTGCCGTGTCATAAAAATGTCAGAAAGTCATAAATGTTGACTTATCTAAAAAAAACTTATTAGATAAAGAATAGAGTATTTTCAGTGAGTAAATATTGTAAGCGTTCTTGCAGTTTTCAACTCTAAGTAAATTTTGTCTTTGACATTTTTAAATGTCTCTGCTTCTATATCTGTAAAAAAGAAGTCAAGACTACTGGACTCTGTATTTTTCTTGAAGACGTTTCACTGGTCATCCAACCAGCTTTCTTAATTCATTAATAATTGAGAAAGCAGGTCGGATGAACAGTGAGACGTCTTCAAGAAAAATACACCAAGTCCAGTTGCCTTTACTTATTTTTTTACAGATATACCATGACCTGGATGAATGAGAAGCTTCACAGACATTTTAGATGGAATTTATCAAAACAGGAGCAGACAAAATCTGGAGCAGATTTGCACTCCAACCAATCAGCTTCTCTGTATAATTTTCAAATCTTAACTGAGCAAACTGAAGAGAGATGCTGATTGGTTGCCATGGGAAACTGCTTCAAATTCTGTCTGCTCCAGTTTTGATAAATTCCCCCCTTTGTGTTTCTATATTTCTCTCCTGTATTGCATATAGAGATATAGAGAAAAGAGAAGAACTAAGTTACAACATAGTTACATGATAGTAACTAAACATAGTAGGTGAGGTTGAATAAAGACAAGGGTCCCTCTAGTTCAACGTGTGTGTGTGTGTGTGTGTGTGTGTGTGTGTGTGTGTGTGTGTCTAACCCTTCCCATATCCTTGTATATGTGAAGTGAAAGAAGAAACTCATCTAAAAGTTTCTTGATTTTATCAATGCTTACAACCTCCCAGCTTAACAAATGTTGTGATTGTGAAATGATGAAATGTTCCGATTAGCCACACAGGTGGTGACTTGCAGTTTACTATTGCATTTACTACAGTGTTCCCACTTCCCTGGATTCATCCCGTTCACAGAATGCATAAGACAGTATACAAGAATTATCTAAATGTATCATATTTCCAGGCTAAAGATAGTGTGTGACCCATGCTTTCCATCTGCTTGTCATTAGTGCACTGTTGTTGTCCAGTTGTGATTGGTGAACTTGGTAAAACTGGTATTTATTGTGTCAAAAAGTTGAATATGTATACTATGTAGTAGGCAGCGGGGATGGAAAAGGGAGCTTAGCGGTTTTGCACTGTCATTAGAAGATAAAAACTCCTTCAAATAGACAGTAATGCCCAATGGCAAGCTTCCCCATACCATTATCAAATACTGTATAACAGTGCAAATGGCTTTCTTTAGCGGAAAGGTTTCTGGGTGTGTTGATGAGTTGGATAATTTGAAATATCCATGGGCTGCACGTGCAGCTCCAATCATTTATTGGCAGGGGCTGTCACCACTATATATTGCCTGTTTTCTGAATGGAGTTCTCCAGGCTCACTAAAAGTGAAAAGCCTTTAAAAATAAAATGTTATACAAAATATATAGTGTTCTATGAACTAAAAATGACTGCCATAGAAGGACGTCTAAAATGTGTATTGTATTTTTCAGTGAAAGAACCCTTGCACTATGGGAGACTGGGAGTTTTTAGAGAAGTTGTTGGATCAGGTGCAGGAGCACTCCACAAGTATTGGAAAAGTCTGGCTAATGGTGCTTTTTGTGTTTCGCATCCTAATTCTTGGTCTGGCGGGAGAATCCGTTTGGGGCGATGAACAATCAGATTTTGTCTGCAATACGGATCAGCCTGGATGTCCAAATGTCTGTTATGACAAAGCCTTCCCCATCTCTCATGTGCGCTTCTGGGTGCTTCAGTTTCTCTTTGTTAGCACCCCCACGTTATTTTACTTGGCACACGTTATTTATCTGTCCAGAAAAGAAGAAAAGCTGAAGCAAAAAGAGGAAGAGCTAAGGGCTATGAGTGACAAGGACCAGCAAGTGGACCGTGCAATAGCTGTCATTGAGAAGAAACGTCTAAAAATCTGTATTCAAGAGGATGGTAGGATCAAAATCCGAGGAGCGCTAATGTTGACATACACAATCAGTGTTATTTTCAAGAGTATTTTTGAAGCTGGTTTCCTGCTTGGCCAGTGGTACTTGTATGGCTTTGTGATGCCCGCATTATATGTGTGTGAGAGAACCCCATGTCCTCATAAAGTAGACTGTTTTGTATCTAGACCCATGGAGAAAACTATCTTCATCCTTTTCATGCTAGTAGTGTCACTGATCTCTCTAGTACTAAACCTCCTAGAACTGATTCATCTAATGTGTAAGAGTATGGTTCATGCCTTAAAAAAATATTCCCCCTATGTGCCTAATACAAAATACACAAAGGAAGAGGATATTTACCCAGGGAAATGCTCTGAGGCAGCCAGTGCACCTTTTCAGGACAAGTCTTACCTGTACCTCCCCATGACTGAGAACATTTCCTACCCAGCATACAAAGTACAGAATGAGGACAACTGGGCAAACTTCAATGCTGAGAAACATTTATGCCTCAGTGCAGACAAACAGGCACTAGATCATTACAGCAACAGTCCCTTTAAACCTGTTTCTCCCAACTCCCATGCTGTTGTCGAGAAGCAGCCAAGCAGAGCCAGCAGTTCGGCCTCTAAAACACAGTATGTCTGAGAGAACTGCCTGTGTTATTCTTTCACTGTTCATGCTATGAGCATCTGGTCTGATTGGCAGTACTGTTGTAGTTCTATACTAACGTTAATATGTAGTACAAGATTACATTAACTTGAAATGCTGCAGTATGAACTGCAAATTTTAGCAGATCAGCTCAACTAGGACCTTTATCTGGACCTCCTTCATGTCCTTCATGTTTTCTTACTTTAACTGTGAATGCTAGCTTCTGTGAATCATATCAAAGCAGGTGAGACACAAAATTCATGAAAATGTTCCTCTGTTGTGATTCTATGCAATACAAGTCAAAGACTCAAAGGACTTATAAGGTTTCCTCATCTCTATGTATATCTCCATCTGGCTGTATGACCCAATCAAGCATCAGCAGTGAACACTGAGCAACATTTAGGCCATGCAGAGCTTCCTTAATGAGGAAGAACAAGCACTTTCAAAAGTTGGAAACACTTCTTATCATGCACAGTTTTAAAGAACAAGCAGATGTCTCACCACCAATCAGTCTTGGTGACACATCTGCATGTGCATAAAGGCAGCTTTAGTTAGTTTTGGCAAGTGCATATAACATGTTGGCAAAGACATAATAGAGAACATTTATGAAAACTTTCCACAGGTAACTTAAGATAATTTATTATACAACTACAGGAATGCATATACTGGGCCTGACTTATCAATCTTTATCAACCCACGATACCACTTAAAGCTAAACTCCAGTCAGCTAATAAAAATCCAATTTTGGTAGCTCCCCTACCATATAGTAAGGCTCTAATGCTCGTTTAGTCTTGGGGGACATATAGCAGGGATGAAAATCTGTACAATATAAATGGATGATCACACTCTCTCAAAAAGTTCAACTTCTTTATTAGTGACAATTCATGACAGTTACAATAAGATGAAGAGTCCTTTTATGCTAATCAGCGCATAATCATAACTTCATGATTAAGTTCTGATTAGCATGAAACGCATAAGAGGTATTTTGTTTCTTATTTTGCCTGTCATAGATTGTTACTAATAAGAAAGTTAAACTTTTTGTCGGGGGTGGTCATCCATTTATGCTGTACAGATAATTTCACCAACAAGCTAGATGAGCACCCAGCACAAGAGCTGGCAGGACCAACCTGGAGTAATATTCAGTGCACTCGAACAGAGAGGAATATTTACCATATTCCTTGGTCCACAGGCAGTCAGCACTCTACTCCAACCCTGTAATGCAATGCTGCAATATACAGTACAATACAATGTAATTCATTTTTGTTCTTGGGTTTAGATACCCTTTAGGGTATTCTCAAGCGACCTCCCCAGTGATATTAGCATGCCCTATTGTTCCATTTTCTATCCCTTAAGTCCTATTGATTAACCATGGTCAATGTACTTAATCAGAATCTGATATAATTATGCGTGATTGCACCAATTCATTTCAATACTTACATGCTTCTTGAAAGTAAAAATATCTTACGCCTTCCAATTATTGCATGCACTAGTATCATGGATTATAATGGGCAGGCAGGCTTATTTCTTGGACAGCTGCCCAGGACCTCTAAACAGCATAGAATTTTATGTTTGTCAATCCAGGATGAAAATAGAGCAGGTTAATTGAAGTCTGGGCAGTCACCGGTAAGGACAACCCAATCCCCAGTCCACTGCTAAAGCATGGATCCTTCTGTAGACAAACAAGGCTCTAATAAAGTTATTTACGTTTTTAGATGGCAAGGCAGCAAGTTCATTATGGTTGACATAACTGGAATAAAAACCAATACCAATTTAGAACTTATGCTTGAAGGTCGAGAAAACATCCTCTGTTGGGGGTTCTTGAAGACTGAATTTGAGCAATAAGATGGAGGTAAAGCATAGAATAAGGGACCCTTTTCCACCACTTAACAGGATAAAAAAGTATGATCACCCATAAACCATGTAGTTGTTCATAAAATTCACCTTTCTATACCCAACGGGGAAATTATGTATTCTACATAACAAATATTTTATTAGCACATTCATATAAAATGCACATTGTCCAAAACCATTCTCTTCTCCAATAAATATGCACATAACACTTTTTGCACTATGTCCCTGCACTTTTTGCACTTTCAGAATTATAGCAGTTAGAACGCGTCAACAAATGTCAACGGATTTTTGAAACAATATTCGTTGCTATAGTTCACAACAATAAAAAAAACGCTGATTTAGCAGTGGGTAACACCAATATGTCTTCAATTACCTGTGGATTGGTTTACATACATTTCTCACGTCTTCTACTTCTTCCCCTGTATTAAATTTTAGCAAATGGAGGATCAAAACCTGACAGATAAAACAATGGATATTAGACTTTGCGATTGACTTTTATGCTATGTACTGTTATTTATTGAAGGGTGTGTTACTTGAAATCTATACAAAATAGTGTCAAGGCCAGATTTTCATGAACTTCCGGGGTAAAACACAGGGATGACTTGTATATATATTTTTTTAAATAAAAATAATGATTTTTTTTTTTACTTTGATAAATGTCAGTGTGATTTTTGTTTAAAATACTGTGTACCTCTCTGTAATTAGCTGATGACAAAGAAGAAGAAGTCCAATGTACAGTAAAATCTGAAACATAATGCAGTTTACTGATGGAAAATAGGCTGTTCATTGTGCAAGGGAATTTTTCATTAGCAAATGTTGTGAGAATTCAGTTTTCAAAGAATGCCCAATCACCCAATACCCAAGAAAAAAAAACATGTATGCACAGGATTGGATGATGAAAGTCAGCAGAGCTTCACCTCATTCACTAAGCTAAGGGAAAATTCCCCTGCAAAGTGCATTTGTGCCTCACTGGCCAAAAGGAATGTGCAAGGGTCAGGTAAGGGCAGAAAGCATCAGCCACCAGTAAGTGCAAAAACATTCAGCCATGACAGGTAGGTTTGGGAGGCTGCTGTCGGTATGTGTAGGTACCTCTAGGTGCCTAAGTTTCATGCATACCGCAGGTTGCCCCTTCTCCAACTGACACAGCCTCTTTAATCTATGAACTCTCAACAAATGCTATTATCAGACACATTTGGGATTACTCAGTAATGCAGTTTATTAAGAAATGATGATGTGGAAAAGGCAGTAACCCCTAAAGAAAGGATTTTTTTTAATAACCCAACAGTTGGGCTAATGGCAAATCTCTGCACGTGTTAACGATTTTACATATACATCTAAATGCACAGATGTTGAGTTGTAAGGTTGGATGTGGGGAATGCTGGAAGTAGGCCACATATGATGCATAAGGAGAAATAGACTATTTGTCCATAATTGTTCCCAACATAGCACAAGTGGAATGCTATGACAGGAAGTCTGTGCTTAAAAATGTTATCAGATATACATGTTCACACACAATACAAGATTAGTGGCTCAGATGCAACACCCCAAAATAAAGACTTGGTTCCAACACAGCTAAATACAGTTATAAGATATATCTTAATTGTTTTACCTACCAAAATTTTGGAACTCTGTCCGGGCTGCCTTTTGATTCTCACATTCTCACATTGCATGGCGCAAATTAATTTGAAGTTTCGAAAATTTGATAAAAACTTTATATTTTCCAGCATCAGAAATGTTCTACCAACCCCAGTGGTAGTCTTCTCTTAAAATAAACTTCTGGAGGTTGTATTTGCTTTCTCTAACTTTTCTGTCCTGCCACCCAATTCATCCACCGGAGCCTGGAGAAAAAACAAGTACTTCTGGCTATGGAGACCTGCCACCTACAATTTTGTGTCGGGTGCTTGAGTGGACAGTCACCAGGAGAGGGTATTATTAGAGCAGTGCAAGCAGCAATCCAGAGCAGACATAGAACATACTTATTGATTTCTTACGTGGGCTTTGGTGAGCACAGGGAGCAGTAGGAGAGCAAATACAGTCATGGCCAAAAATATTGGCACCCCTGCATTTCTGTCAGATATTGCACCACTTCGCACAGAAAATTGTTGCAATTACAAATGTTTAGGCATTCTTGTGTTTATTTCTTTTGTTTGTATTGGTATGACACAAAAAAGTGGTGAGAAAAAGCCAAATCTGACACATTCCACACAAAACTCCAAAAATGGGCTGGACAAAATTATTGGCACCTTCTCCAAATTGCAAGAAATTATTTAATTCCACGTTTGTGATGCTCCTGTAATATGTAATTAAACTCACTGGTATCAATTAACAGGTGCTGACAATATAGAAATCCCACCGACAACCAGTTAAAATGGTGAAAAATTGACCTGCTAATTAGCCTCTTTAGCAATCCTGTTGCTGGCAATTTGCTGCCAATGATAGGCTGTGGTGTATTTTGTTTTGGGGCTGCCCTAGGCAAGATGAAACTCAGGCACCCCCACACTAAATTTGTCCCACCCCTTCCTGTTTAAGACTTTTTGCATAACCTGCTAGTATGTTGTGCTAGGTACTAGCAATTTATTATTCACACGGGTTACACCACACATTGTTGCAGCTGGCAATCTTTTAGACACTCTATATCACTCCCAGCGCAACTACTTGTCGTTTTATATTTTTGCATAACCTGTCAGTAACTGGATACAGCGCATATGCTGTATCCAGCTTTTTACATGTTCCGCTATTAGCGTAGCAGGAAAGCTGAGGGCTCAGGTGGGTTCTGCAGGGTCTCAAGTGGGCTGTGCAGGATCTGTGGTGAGCTCTGCAGGGTCTATGGTGGGCTATGTAGGGTCTCAGGTGGGCTGTGAAGGATCTTTGGTGGGCTCTGCAGGGTCTCAGACTGCAAAGCCTACCTGAGACCGTGCAGAGCCCATCACAGATCCTGCTAAGCCCTCCTGAGACCCTGCAGAGCCCACCATAGACCCTGCAGAGCCCACCATAGACCCTGCAGAGCCCACCATAGACCCCGCAAAGCCCACAATAGACCCTGCAGAGCCCGCCACAGATCCTGCACAGCCCCTCTGAGACCTTGCAGACTTCAGGGTCTCAGGGGGGCAGTGCATGATCTGTGGTGGGCTTTGTGGGGTTTATGGTGGGCTCTGCAGGGTCTCAGGCTGCAGAGCC